CTGATCATGAGTGTTCTCATGAGTTTGGCAAATACAAACTCACAGCTTTATGTTGGACAGCCTCTTTAGGTGAAAAACGTGAGTGAGAAATAATAAATTCAAATATAAAAAGATTAGGCTAACCAGAGCAGTGAAAGGCTCAAACTGGGATCTGAAAGGGACAAGGGTTAAATCTGTGATGCAAAGGAATCATAAATATTCAGAGTTGAGATGCCAAATGAATTCTTTTGGAACTAATTTATGATATCTATCATGAGGAAGTGGAAGGATGTGGCATTGGATTAGGACTCAGGAAATCTGGGTTCAATGTCATGCTTCTGCCACAGGCTTCTTGTATGACTTTAGGCAAGTCATATTCTCTGTGTGCCACAGTTTCCCATCCCATGTATAAAATGAGGCTAGTAACAATGGTTCCTTGTAGTATATTTTGGCTGCACATTCCTTGGGGCTGCTACTGTGTGTATTGTGCAGTGCCAAGCATACAAGGTTCTGATGTCAGTCGGGGTCTTCAGGCGCTCCTTTAATACAAATAATAATAATGGATTGCTGCTTCTGTGTCAGGAGAACAGAGTAAAAACAGCTGGACATCAATAGGGAATATTATTCACCTACAAAACTCTTGATATCTCCTTAATACTTCTTCAAGCAAAGCAAATCCTCAAAAGAAAGTCCAAATGCAAAGGTCTATGTTTTTCTGAACCCCAGGGGAATGAAAGGTGATTGAAAAGAAAGTTAAAAAATAGGTTTACTCTTAAAAGTTAAGATTAAAAGATTCCTCACTTTTCTTTATTTATCTGTGATCAATAATAGTCTGTGATATTTGATATAAACCAAGGTGCAACTGTAAAGTCCTCTAAAGCACATCTTTGAGTACGAAGTAATCAATAAAGGGCAGATGTTTTTCTCCTCAGTTCTGGAAGACCGTTACTCTGTGTGGGTGTTGGTTCCTGTGGTGTGCTGAAGTCATTACTGGTGACACTCAGCTGGGTATACCTCTGTGATGTTCTGCAATTGTCAATCAGCATATCCCGTTAGCAGCTGCATATTTTCACTTATGCGGAACAATATTTATTATTGACACACATAATTAAAGGTCAAGTATTTTTTTTTAAATGTGAAATACATAGTTGTTTAACAAGCATCATGCAGAATGAATAGTTTCCAAAATATGGTTCAGAAATCAGGAATAATTTTTAAAGGGCAATTTTAAAAGCTATAATATAACAGGAAAGTCTATTTGACTTTCATTTGCAGTTGTGTCATACAATTGTTTGGAATATCATAAATCTTTGACATACATAGTCTCGAATAATAAAATCTTTCAGTGGAAAATGTATTGTCTTAATCTTTTTACTTTTATTGTTCCCATCAGCATAATATTTGTTCTGTTATGAAATGTGTAAGTTCAGTGTTCTTGGATCATCTGTATTTCAAATAGTAAAGACTTCTTTAACAGCAAATTAATAAATAGCTAATGTGGACTGGAAGGCAAACATACGGTAGTAACTCACTGAAAGGGACAGAGAAAGGCAACAAAAATGATTAGGGGTATGGAACTGCTTCCATACAAGCACAGATCAAAAAGAATGGAACTGTTCAGTTAAAAAAGAGATGACTAAGTGGGGATTTGATTGCGATCTATACAGTCATGAATGGCATGGAGAAAGTGAATAGGGAAGTGCTGTTTACCCCTTCACATAACACAAGATCTAGGGGTCACCCAATGAAATTAATAGGCAGGTTTAAAAACAAACTAAAGGAAGTACTTCTTCACACAACACACAGTCTATCTGTGGAACTTGTAGCCATGTGATGTCGTAAAGGCCAAAAGTATAACTGAGTTCAAAAAAGAATTAGATACGTTCCTGGAGGATAGGCCCATCAATGGGTATTAACCAAAATGGTCAGGAACACAATCACATGCTCCAGGTATCCCTAAACCTCCAACTGCCAGAAGCTGAGAATGGACAGCAGGAGATGGATCACTCAAAATCGCCAAGTTCTGGTCATTCCCTCTGAAGCATTTGGCATTGGCCACTGACAGAAGACAGGATACTGGGCTAGATGGACCATTGGTCTGACTCAGTATGGCCATTTTTATGTTCTTTGATGTCAATCAGGATATTGGTGTGTGCATATGCATGCCATTTTCTCTCCACTGCATCAAAAGGATCTGCAGAGTACTGAGAAAACTTGCCAAGTGGAGAAATTGGATGTGATTCTCTCTTGTTGCCAGGCAATTCTCTCATGTTTCTGGAGAGGGTTTCAGAGGATTGAAATAATCTAAAATGGTCCTGCGAGCCTGTCATAGTTAATACTCATGCCACAACAGCAACTTTCTGCTTCCTCCCTGATGATTGGGCAAAAACCCATAGATGGCATTTTTACCCAAGTGTTTCTCCAGTAACACTATAAGTAGGGCCCTACCAAATTCATGGTTCATTTTGGTCAATTTCACAGTCATAGGATTTTAAAAATCTAAAATTTCACGATTTCAGGTATTTAAATATGAAATTCCATGGTGTTGTAATTGTAGGTGTCCTGACCCAAAACGTAGTTGTAGTGGGATGTGTGTGTGTGTGTGTGTGTGTGCGCGCAGTACTGCTATCCTTAGTTCTGTGCTGCTGCATGTGGTAGCACTGCCTTCAGAGCTGGGCAGCTGGAGAGTGGTGGCTGCTGGCTGGGATCCCAGCTCTGAAGGCAGAGCCACCGCCAGCAGCAATGCAGAAGTAAGGATGGCACGATATGGTATTTCCACCCTTACTTCTGTGCTGCTGCCTGCAGAGCTGGGCCCTCAGACAGCAGCCGCCAGTCTCCGGCCACCCAGCTCTTAAGACAACAGTGCAAAAATAAGGGTGGCAATACCGTGACCTCCCTAAAATAATCTTGTGACTCCCCCGCACTCCTTTTTGGGTCAGGACTCCCAATTTGAGAAACTCTGGTTCCCCTGTGAAATCTGTATAGCATAGGGTAAAAGCACACAAAAGACCAGATTTCACGGGGACCAGTGGGAAAAATCAGATTTCACAGTCTGTGATGTGTTGTTCAGGGCTGTGAATTTGTTAGGGCCCTAACTATAAGGAGAAAGATCACCTGCCTCAAAGGAAAGATGCTACTATGTTGAGTGCAACTTCTGAAGAGTAATCAGAGTCTGGACAAGGGTGAGGGCTCTGATCAAGTAAAGGTTATTTTTGGAAAATTGCTGTCAGCTGGATGCATTAAGCTCAGGCAAACACAATGATCTCTCAGACCACAGCATAGGCAGGAGAGATTTTGACTATATCAAGCTCTCCTTGGCCGGATTTGGAAATAAGAGCTATCCAACTCAAGAAAGTGGAACCCTGCATTGGTAGCAGGGAAACTTGGTAATATGCTTCACCATAAACTTCTGCAGGCAAAAGATAAACTGGGGTCTCCCTGCTGAAGCTACCAGTCAGCATAATAAAGTTCTGCTTTGTGCTAGGTGTATGCCTTTGTCACTCAAGTGAAGAACAGTTGCTCACTGGTTCAGAGTGGGGTAGGAGGCTATGACAAGAAACTATCCACATTAGGAGATAATGTATGTTATGTCAGAACATTAAGAATTTAGGAGATTGGGAAGTGATCAGAGAATCACTGATTTATTTTTGGGAGCTTGGATAATTCCCCTATTCTTCTTTTAGAATACCCTCATTAAGATAGAAATGTAAGTGGGCAGTTGCTTTATTTTTAAGTGTAATTCAGGGTACCATTATCTTATGATTCAAGAAGACAAACGGTATTACATTAGCAATTTGTATTATAGGTTTTAAAGGAGTTCAATTATATTTTTTAACTTGGCTTAAACTGTAGGAAGGGAAACCCAGATTTCAAATATAAATGGATCCTTGTTTGATTTAATGATAGCCAATGTTTTGCCTCCATAACATTGGACACTACTGCTACCAATTGACTGAATTATGGCTACAATGTTCTCTAGTGTAGATGCAAAAAAATGTGCAAATTTGTTAAAAATGGAAAAAGGTGATAATTGGGTGTGAACCTTTTAAACACTCGATGTTTCCTTACATAGTTTATTCCTAAGCGAAGGTCAGTGAGATGTATAAAATATAACCAAAGCACAAACCAGTCCTGAGTTTCTTTGATGTATCAGTTATTCAAAATTATTCACCAAATACTTTAGATGAACCATTTTCAGACTATTCTTTATTTGCTTTATTTATGGTTCATATCTAATCACATACTGGTAGTAAATTCTGCAATTTAGTTTTTACTTACTGACAGGAAGACTGAAAGTTTGTAAATAGGCAAATGACTAAACCATAAACAGTAAATAACATCTAGAACTATTCAATCAGCTTTTATTAGTGCCCTACATTTGTCCGATCAAGAAACAAACAAAACCAAAGAGGGGAAGATCCTACAGGTGATACTTAGAATGTGAGCACATTTTGTGACCTCCACAAATGGCAGTTTAGTGCACACAACAAGAGGCAGCTGACGCAGCGAGAGGCACTTTTCCCTTTGGTTTACCTGCTAGAGCTGCTGCCTTCAGACCACAAAGGTCATGTGGTTTAGTTTTTGACTGATATAGTATGCAGAATGCATATAAAGTAATTCCAGCTACTAGGGAAATTACAGTAGTAATAGAACTAGCACACATAACACGTATAGATCAGATTAGCGAACTCACGGTGTGTCCTGGCCAACACTTTGAAAATGTTCCCCTGTACCTCCTGGAATTATAATATATACAGTTTGACTTCAGCTCTATGTTCTCAGATCTTTAATGTAAATCATGAACTTATTACTTAAAGACAAAATGAGATAATATATTTTAATTTGCTATTTATCAACATAACATACAGAAAGATGATGTGCATATGGCAACAACCCTGTGTCTATAGTTACTTCCAATGATGCCCTCAAAGGTAATACACCAAAAGATATTTACTACTGTGCAACAGTTACTCATCCTATAGAAAAGTGTGTTTTAAACAGAACAAGAATACCCTACTCACTTGCCATTTAATGCTGCCACTCCAACAGTGCTTCTGGCAATTGACATACTTGCCACAAATGTCCACTGCTGACTTTGTGGATCCCACCTCTCAACCGTGTTCAAATAGCTCCAGCCATCATGGCCACCCACTGCATAAATAGGCCCTTCAAGTACTGTAACACCTAAAGTAGAAGAGAGAGAGTGAGAGAAGATAAACATAGATAGATTATCTTACACTACATCAGGGGTCGGCAACGTTCGGCATGCGGCTCGCCAGGGTAAGCACCCTAGCGGGCCGGGCCAGTTTATTTACCTGCTGACATGGCAGGTTCTGCCGATCGCGGCCCCCACTGGCCGCGGTTCGCCGTCCCGGGCCAATGGGAGCAGCAGGAAGCGGCGCGGGCCGAGGGATGTGCTGGCCGCGACTTCCCGCCGCCCCCATTGGCCCAGGACGGCGAACCACAGCCAGTGGGGGCTGCGATCGGCCGAACCTGCCGCGTCAGCAGGTAAATAAACTGTCCCGGCCCGTCAGGGTGCTTACCCTGGCGAGCAGTGTGCCGAACGTTGCCGACCCCTGCACTACATTCTTAAATAAATAATTACCATAACAAAGGTACTAAGTAAATATTAATATGCCCATATACTCCTGGTTGAATAAAATGCATAGCAATCATCTCACCCCTCATCTCCTCCCACTCACACTGCGTTGTTTTTCATGTTAACTGGCAAATGGGCTGAGTCATTAACATGTCCTCAAAAGAACATAGAGGACAGAGTGGGTCAGAAAATGGGTTTATTTTTCCCCATGGAAAATGTCTACTTTTTATTGAAAACCTTTTTTGATAAAAAGTTGAAATTTTCTGTGGAAAGCAGACACTTTTTAATAAGAAAATAATTTAGCCAAAACCCCAGTTTTCCACTGAAGAACAGTTTTGATGGAAAAATTTAAACCAGCCCTGAGTTAGTGTTCAACGTCACAACCCCTTTCCTGAGGATTGATTGGTAACTCGAAAGCAATAACACAGCAAACTTCAGCCTAAATTTCTTCACCAGTATTGCTTGTTTCTAGAGTTTTCCTCTGGGATCTCCTCTATCCTAGCTCCCCAATCTCATCTGGTCCAAAGAGACCCTGGTACCATTTCTACATCGTGGCTTGGCCCACATGCCACCATGACTCAGCAGTAGTGTCCCTAAATCTTAATGTAGATAGCATAAGAACATGGACCATACAGTATGGCATTTCCTATCTAGTCCATATTCTGATGGTGGCTAGCATCAGATGCTTCAGAAGCAGGTGCAAAACACTTTACAGTAGTTAGGATAAAATCTTATTGGGAGCAGATAATAGATTGCTTTAAAATACAAAGCATGAGATATTTATCCCTTCCAAACTTTTTGATAGCACTCACTATAACAATTCTGGATATGCCATGTATTTCTCTTGATAAAAATATGATCCATCTTTGAATCTTGCTAAATTCTTTGCCTCAACAACATCCTGTGACAACAAATTCCACAGTCTAATTACACATTCTGTGAAAAACAAGTAGCTTTTATCTGTTTTGAAACTTTTCCCTTTTGATTTCACTGAATGTCTCCTTGCTCTAGTCTTGTGAGCCAGAGAGAACAGTGGCTCCTAGTCAATTTTCTCTTCTTTTTTATACTTTTTATGGTTATATACAAACTATTCATTTTATATACTTTTATCATGTCCCTTTTTACTCATCTCTTTTCTAAGATAAACAATTCCAATTCTTTTCAATCACTCTTCATATGTTGTCCTTCTCTGAACTTCTTCAAATTCTGTAATATTCTTGTTTGAGAAATAGTCACTAGTACTGTACATAGTATTACAGATGTTTACTGAACAGAAATTTTCAGTGAGTTCTCCACAATGATGACCAGGTCCCTTTCCTGAATTGATACAGTTAAGTTAGAACCCTATAGAATGGATGAGTAATGGGTTCCCTACAGGGACCTCCTGGCTCCTGCCCCCACTGGACTGAGAAAGTCACACACAGACCTTTTGGTGCAGTGCTCACCTGGTGCTTTTATTTACAGGCTGTGCTCCCACCACCTTTCCACCATACACGTAGTCCCCTTCTTACAATCCACCAGCAGGAGAGAGGGGGCAAGCTATCTCTCTCTGCTTCCCCTCTCTGCCTTTCCGCTACTGCAGCTTCCCTCTTTCCAGCTCCTTTCTTCTGGCTTCCTTCCCCTGGGGCTCTTATCCAGCCCCAGCCTGATGAGACATCAGCTGTTCCAGCTTCCCTAATCAGGGCCAGGTGATCTACCCAGCTCCAATTCACCTCCTTTAATTGGAGCTGGATTGACAGAGGGTTGGCTAAGCAGTCTTCTGCTTAGCACCCTGTCACAATGAGTAATACATATTTTCCCTCCAATATGCATTACTTTGTATTATCAACATAGAACTTCATCTGGCATCATGTTGCCCATTCACCTCACTTTGTTAGGATGTTCTGACATTTTTCACAGTCTTCTTTGGACTTGACTAACCTAAATAATTTGTTCCATCTGTGAAATTTTATACCTCAGTGCCCACTCCATTTTCCAGAGTATTATTAACATCTATCAAATGAACTCAATAAAAAAATTCTATATTCGCATCTGCCACCCCATTACATTTACATTTGAAACAACCCCCTCTTTGCAGAGCATCAAATGCCCTCATTCTCCTTGTAATTCCTCCTCAAAAAAGCCAGTCCAGTTCTGGCCCATTGCATTTTAAAATATTGAACAAAGAAAACTCTGGAGTGTAGAATTTCAACCCATTGTTGTACAGTGATGAAAGTGTTCACTGCAAAAAATTACTTGTTTAAACATTTTGAAAGATATAATATTTATATCTCCAGACCAGCTTATTAGTAACAAACAAAATCCAAGATTTATTAATTCAGACTGATTTTGATTTGTGTCCTACTGGAGTGAATGGGTGTGATACTAATTGAGCAACAGATTCTGCCAACCCTGTTGACACTGAGTAGTGATTTACTCCACAAATACTCCCATGGATATTAGTGGATAGCGCTACTGCGTGTATAAATAACTTGAGTTCAATAGAACTGTTCATGGAGTACATTATTAGTCAACATGAGTAAGGCTGGCAGAATTGTGTGACCAGTAAATTTACCCAATGCTTTATTTAGGCAGCTAATTTTTCCATTTTAGGCTGTCAGTGGGTGAAAAGTAGAAACACGTAGAACTGGGGCTGTGTAATATATCTCGAAACTGGAAATACAACAGCCTTCAGCAAAATGAGTCATCATAGTATTTCTAGTGATTTTTATATTTTCCCTAACCCATAGATATTTTAGTTATGCTTTTTTTTTGCATGTGGTTTTTAATCATACTGGAATAAAATCAGAAAGCTGCAACAGCTAGTATTTCCATGCAACAATTCAACAAGTGCTATCTTCTGACTGCAGGAAAATATCCCATGCATTCTGATTATTTGCCTTTCTCCAATTCATCAGGAAACTATGACAAACCAAGTACTAGTATAATTTGTGAACAGAGTCAATCATATCTGATAAATAGAACATTTCACATATCACTGATTTGTCTGTGCTCATACGAGATATATGACATCAGGTATTGCTTTTATATTACTTCCATACATGGCAATTTGAGGGACTGCATATGTTGCCTGCAAATGTGTGGGGAGAAGGGGTTGGTGGGTTTCTTTGGTGTGGTTTTCAAATTAAGAAAGAATGCTTAAAATAAATCCGTTTTGCATAAATAAGCAGATGGAAGAAGCAATGGAACAATCAACGTGAAAATAAATTGTAAACCTTTCTAAGAACACAGTAAGCCATATCTTTGCTTGGATTAAAATGAAAAGAAAAAAGGGCTAAATTCTGCCCTTTAGGCCAGACATTTGTGCATCCAGGGTAGCAGCATGTAGCCAACACATGTCTAATACAAGAGACACCCTGCAGTCACATTGGACTGGCACACTGCAGGGCACTTTTTTCTGCATTTGTCAGTGAAAACAGTATGAACCCTAATAAGTGCTGGCACAGCTTGCTACACTGTTGGCAGCATATGGGAAAGATTCAGAAAAGAACAAGAATTATTGACAATCTGGAAAAGCTGCTTTACAGTGAGATATTTAACATCCGCATAGCTTACCCAGGATGTGTATCCAAGAGGTGATTTGATCATAGTCTACAAGTGTGACAGACTGACAATATCCTGGACAAACCTTATGGAATGAAGGAATGGAATTAAAGAATTAAGATAAAATTTACTTATCTTAAACCTTATTGAGTTAGTATTAATGCCTTTGGGATACATTATATTAAAATGCATTTGTGTATTTCTTATTGTGGAGGTGAAGGATGCTAATGTAATTTCTCTGGTTATCAGTCCTTTGAAGCCACACCCGCCTCCCCTGAGAGGTTCACACTGGATTCTCCAGGGACCAACAGACAGAGAAAGGATAAATAAATAAATAGGATAAATACAATTTTGGATAAATAGCCTGGTTTTCAACAGGCTACTGACCTTCTTCCTTGTCCAGCAAATAGACAGGATCCCTGGTCCACAGAGGGCCCCAATCCTTTGAGAAAGGTTGGAAGGACTGGGCCTACTGAGGGCTCATAAGACCGGGGACGTGTTCTGAGCTGAAGCTGTGATTAACTTGTAACCACAAGAAACCCCCTGGGTGGAGTGCTGAAGGACTGATGTGGGAGCAGAACCCAGGTTAGGATTGGGGTAATCTCTGATAAACTTCTTAGTAGGTGTGTAGGCTCTTTTATCATTTTTAGTATGGTTTCTTTCTAGTGCTTTTACCTGAGAATAAAATAGGCTTGCATCGGAAGAATTGTGTGATAATTTATCACTGTGGGCAGACACACAGATATCAGTCTCTGAAGAGAAAGCAAGCCCATCTGTTTAGGCAAACTGCTGGGAATAACACAGGGAAGGCAGGGAACTGTTTGGCTTGCAAATACCCAGGCCAGGAGGGAGGGAGATGTGTGTATCCACCCAAGAAAGATAACAGCCAGGGAACGAGAAGCCTGAGAGGGGTGCCCTTGCTGAAGCACTCTGTATTTAAGGGGAAATACAGGTGCAGTTGCTCTGAACTGTGACAAGAAGTACATATATGAGGAGAATATATCTGATCGAAAGGGCTCTTGAACCTGGTTGATAAAGGCAT